AAAGCTGAATCAGCACGCCCGATTACAACGCTGACACGTCAAAACCCAGATAAACTCCTTTGCATCTAGCCATTCGTACTCAAGATACCTAAACGATCTTATAAACAAACACAAATCGCATGTTAAATGACACATCGATAGTACGGGACCTGTCAAGGATTCTCAACATTGCAATAGAACTAATTTAACCATCCCCATAACAATCCAGCCCAGACGACACAAAAGGAAAGGAACTGATGATAAAGAATACTACCTACCGGGTGAACCCCCGCTGCCATATCATCCTCCGCGCTTTACCGTCTTATTAATGATGATCAAATCAAATACGAACATCAAAACACACACACCCTTGGTAACCCCGAGCATTAACAAAACTCCTGACACTTCCGAGAATCAATCAGTCATGACTGAATCACCCAAGAAAAGAGAAGGAACTTAGGGGACCAAATACATTAATATACATTGCATCCCTCATCTATGACATACTGATAGGAATGCTTTCAAGGACTCCCATGAGATATAAATATTCCGACCATATAAAAAGCGAAAAGAACTAAACTAATTAAAACCAATTGATAGAGGAATCACCTCTCTCTAAAAGAAATGTTTCAATAAACGACTAAATCAAAAAAAGAAGAAGAAAGAAAAGGAGGAACATGAAATTTAATAACAGCACCTTTATTTTTTACAATCAATTGACAGAAAAACAGAATCAACTACTCAAACAAATTAAAAGAAAGGTGTAACGGGCGGATCGGCCGAGCCACCGATAGGTGTCATAGTGGTGCCGACCGTGTGGCGAAAAGGTCCCTAGACGGGTCCGCGACACGTTAGGTTTAGTTAGCTAGTAAGTTGTGTTGTTACTTAGTTGGTAAGATTAGTTTTTAAGTTTACCTCCCCTTTTTCTACAATGTAACGGAAAAATCCTGAGCACAAAGTGTTACCTCCGAACGCCTCGTGGTTTCATAGAAAAAAGAACATTTCGTAAAAGTGAGGTGAAATAAACGATCAAGAAGAACACGTGGCTTATTTATTTCAACAACATCAGAAGCTCTCCCCACATAAATTGGTGCCGAAACCCGGGAAGTGAAGTTCGTGAAAAACATTTAAAGAATTCGAAAAATGGATTCGAAAGAAGCAACGGGTTCTGAATCGAAAGTCGCGAGGCAGGAGGTTCTTGCGAGCGAATTCAGGAACGTGCAGCTCCCAGCGTTTTGGAAACACGAGCCAAAATTATGGTTTATGATGCTGGAGAAGGAATTTCAGGCGTACAATGTAAAAGTCAACGCGGTAAAGACTTCGGCCGTGGTGCGCAATTTGGATCCGGCGACTATGAGGCTCATTATCGATATTATTGAAGCCCCGGAAGACAAGTCTACCTACGAAGACATCAAGCAGGCCTTACTCGAGCGGTTAGAATCCTCCGATGAAACAAAATTGCGACGACTTCTCACAGAGCTAGAACTGGGAGACAGGAAACCGTCCGAGCTTCTGCGAGAAATGAAGCAGCTAGCAGGAGGAAGGATCGCTGATAGTGTTCTGCGTACAATGTGGGTGGACAGGTTGCCCGCACGCGTACGGGAAGTGTTGGCCATCGTAGACGATGCCGATTTGGTAAAATTGGCGAAAATTGCCGATAAAATTACGGCTCGCTCCAGTGGAGCAGAGACGGCCGTGATATCAGACGCAAAAGGATTCGAAATGGACGCCAAGCAGAGTCTACAAAATGGCGACATAGCCGTCATTTGCAATAGGCTGGAAAAGTTGGAAATGCGTTTGGCGAGACGCGATCATGGCTACGGAAGAGGAAGCTACAGAAGAAGAAGTACCAGTAGACGAAGGAGCACACAGCGTAATAAGGAAGGGTTTTGCTACTATCACGCAAAATTCGGAGCGGAATCCTGGAGATGCCGGAAACCGTGTTCGTGGACAGCCCCGGACAAGCGTCAGGGAAACTAGCGGAGGTGTCGCAAGCAGAGGCGATTGACGATACACCGAAGAAACGGCGCCTCAGCATTAGGGATCGTTATTCGTGCATCGAGTTTTTAATTGATACGGGTGCAGACGTCTCGGTCCTTCCCATGAGTTTCAAAGGTAAAGGCGCGAAAGTCGACGTTTTCAAGTTGTATGCCGCGAATGGCGCAACTATTAATACATACGGCGAAAAATTGTTATCTTTAAATTTAGGTTTGCGTCGTAATTTTTCTTGGAGGTTCATCGTGGCCGATGTGTCAAAACCTATAATAGGAGCAGATTTTCTTCATTTTTATAATTTATTGGTAGATCTTCGAAACAGAAGGCTGTTGGATGGAAATACCAAGCTTTTTCAAGTAGCTACTGTAGTTACAACAGAAATTCCCTCTATTTCGACAATAGATGCAAACAACACGGTCACACCTCTGCTTAGAGAATTCATTGAGATCACACAGGCAACCTCCAGGAAAAATGTGAAACATGATGTTTATCACCATATAATCACAAAAGGTGCTCCTATCGCCGAACGGGCGAGACGTTTACCCCCAGAAAAACTAAAAATTGCACGAGCGGAATTTGAACAGATGCTTCAAGATGGAATTTGTCGCCCATCGCAGAGTCAGTGGGCCAGTCCGCTCCATATGGTGCCCAAAAAGTCAGGCGAATGGAGGCCTTGCGGAGATTATAGAAGGTTAAATGGTATGACGGTTCCAGACAGATATCCGTTGCCGCATATTCATGATGTGGCTCACCAGTTCTACGGCAAAAGGGTATTTTCCGTGATTGATTTAACAAGGGCGTACCATCAGATACCGGTGGCACCTGAAGACGTACAAAAGACGGCTGTGATTACACCGTTTGGTCTTTTTGAATTTACGGTCATGCCGTTCGGACTGTGTAATGCGGCACAAACGTTCCAAAGATTTATGGATACAAACCTACGCGGTCTAGATTTTTGTTCGTGTTACATAGATGATGTAATTGTCGCGTCATCGGATTTAGAGACACATCTAGAACACCTGCGTAGACTATTTAGTATATTTAGAGATAAGGGTTTAAAAATTAATGTTTCAAAATGTACCTTCGCCGCAGATACGGTGCAATATTTAGGATATAAGGTAGGAGCTAAGGGCATTGAACCGTTGAACGAACGGGTTCAGTCAATCTGTGATTTTCCTAAGCCAAAGACTGTATCAGATCTTCGTCGTTTTCTAGGAATAATAGGTTTCTACCGCAGGTTTCTGCCAAGAGCCGCCAATTATTTAGCACCACTAAATAGGCATCTAAAAGGTGCAAAAAAGAAGGATAAGAGGCCGGTAGTTTGGGATGGCGATTCTGAAAAGGCATTTGAAGAGGCAAAAAAGCAAATGGCTGCAGCTTCATTGCTTTGCCATCCGAGAGACAACGCAGTTATGACTCTCCGCACCGACGCGTCAGACGTTGCAATAGGTGCGGTATTAGAGCAATTCAGCGACAATAGATGGGAACCACTCGGATTTTTCTCGAGGAAGTTAGAGAAAGCACAGACAAGATACAGTGTTTATGATAGGGAACTTTTAGCTATCTACAAGAGTCTGAAGTTTTTTAAGCATCTCGTGGAAGGTAGACAATTGCAAATTCAGACAGATCATAAACCACTGGTTTACGCGTTCCAGCAAAAAGCCGATAAAGCCAGTCCTCGTCAAGTTAGGCAGCTAGATTTTATCAGTCAATTCACAACCGATATTGTCCATGTAGAGGGAACAGAAAATATTGTAGCCGACGCTTTTTCAAGGATACAGACTATACAAATGCCCGTCATTGTTTCGACAGAGGAATTAAGAAAGGCTCAGACTGAGGACGAGGAATTACAAAATTTGTTAGAAAATAGCTCCAGCAGGTGGAGTTTTCAGAAGATATTTTTAGGAAACTCAGAGGAATTCTTGTATGGAGATATAATTAACAATAGTATTAGACCATACATACCACGAACTTTAAGGAAAAGAATTTTTGATAATGTACATGGTTTATCACATCCCAGTGGGAGGACCACTAAAAAGCTAATAAGCAAAAGTTTCGTCTGGCCTCTAATGAATCGAGACATAACCGAGTGGTCGCGAACATGCCTACCTTGCCAAAAGAGTAAGATCCATCGCCATAACAAACTGCCACCTGAGAAATTTGAGGTACCAAAAGGTCGATTCGAACATATTCATGCAGATATTGTTGGGCCGTTACCAATGGTAAAAAATTTTAAGTACTGTTTAACAATAATTGATAGATTCTCCAGGTGGCCAGAGGCAATTCCGTTGACAGATATGTCAGCGGATCAAGTCGCGTCAGCTCTGTTTACGGGTTGGATTTCTCGATTCGGAGCCCCAGTGTCAATTACTACGGATCAAGGATCTCAATTTGAATCTAATTTGTTCGAAGCTTTAACGAAATTGGTCGGGTGTAATAGAATCCGAACAACTGCATATCATCCGCAAGCGAACGGAATGATAGAAAGATGGCATAGATCGTTAAAAGCAGCTATCATGTGTCACCAAACTAAGGACTGGGTAGAGATCCTGCCTACGGTTCTGCTGGGACTCCGAACCAGCTTTAAGGATGACATTCAAGCTTCCGCAGCCGAAATGGTTTATGGTACCCCGTTGAGGCTACCTGGAGAATTTTTCGTCTGCGAAGAGGAAAGCGAAAATCCACAGATCTTCCTGGAAAAATTCAGACAGTATATTAGAGCTGTAAAACCTAGGCCAGCAGCGAATCATTCTAAAAGAAGATCGTTTATACATAAAGATTTGTATACATGTTCGCATGTGTTCATTCGAGTCGACGCGGTTAAAAGACCACTTGAAGCACCTTACGAAGGCCCGTTCGAAATTTTAGAACGAGTAACTGACCACGTTTTCAAAATTAATTATAATGGTAGAACTGTTAACGTTTCAACGGAGCGATTAAAACCCGCTTTTTACGAAGCGGAGAGAACGGATGAACCAGCAGTCGCTCCCAGAACGTACACGCGAGGCAAAGTTACGTTCAGGTAGATTTATATCTTCGATGTATACTTGGCGGATTTCGCGAGTTCAAAATTTGAACTCTCTCAGGGGGGAGTAGTGTGGCGAAAAGGTCCCTAGACGGGTCCGCGACACGTTAGGTTTAGTTAGCTAGTAAGTTGTGTTGTTACTTAGTTGGTAAGATTAGTTTTTAAGTTTACCTCCCCTTTTTCTACAATGTAACGGAAAAATCCTGAGCACAAAGTGTTACCTCCGAACGCCTCGTGGTTTCATAGAGAAAAGAACATTTCGTAAAAGTGAGGTGAAATAAACGATCAAGAAGAACACGTGGCTTATTTATTTCAACAACATCAGAAGCTCTCCCCACAATCGCTCGCTCTAGGAAACGCGTCTTAAAACTAAGGGCGGGTTTTCAAATAAACAAGACGAATTAACTCTACTAGATTTATTAATACTATTGAAGTGCTGTCGATGAGGCGGCAGGTGGCACGGAAGGTCCGGCAGGTGGCCTTGCCACTGGGCCTCTACAAATAAGAAGACTTATTACTAGACGCGGGTTATACTCGCGGCGCGACTTATTCTAAACGCGTCGGGCTCTAAACACTATAGTACTACTCGAACTATCACTAAGAGACTCGATGTCTATCGGGCTAACGGAAACTATCGCAAGTGGCTTTATGTCTATCGGACTACTGTAAGAGACTCAATATCTATTGGACTACGCGAACTACCGTAGGAGAAGGCGGGGTCACGCTTCGGCTCCGGCGCGTAATTTAAATCTAAACTTATGTTCTAAACGATACTTAATGTAACGCGGGATCTGGCCCAGGGTGCTCGTAATTTTTCATAGGGCCGGAAAGTGGGGACGACGCGACCATGGTGGGGTCTGGTACTTGATGGGGGTATGCTAGGCATGGTCAGCGAAGGCGCATGAGGGGAATAGTAGTGGGGCTCAAAATACGGGCGAAAAAGAGGGGAAGCGAGCCGCCTGTGAAAAATTACGAGCACCCTGATCTGGCCAATGCCAGATCGTTCGTGGTTCGATATGGTGCCCGTGAAGCGGGCCGTGGCTTCTACAAGACACCGCTATCCAAAGTGATAGCGGGCTTTATCCGTGCTTCTAATACCCGTATCGGCTTTACCGAAATGGTAGCCGGGTGGCCTCGAGTCGCTCTTGTCACTAATAATAGTGACGAGAGCCGGTTACCAATGTTTGCGGAAGGCACAGCCTCACGATCGGAGGATCCTTCCCTCAAGCAGAGGTTTTGCACAAATCACTTCTTCTACTAAGTGCGGAGGGCCTCGTATCCCTATACCGATGGGCTCGCCCACACCATCGGCTGACTCGATTACTTACTTTGCAGTGCGTCAGATAGGCTGGCCGCAGTAATCGAAGTGCTTATCACTTTTTTTTTTCTCTGGGTAAGCGATGTTTTAGAGAAGGTGACTCGACACCAATACCGATGTTATGCGCCCCCTGACGGGTTTACGTGCGAATCGACCTTCAAGAGCCGTGCCTACCAGCGAGAGCTAGTTTACCGACTTTCTTGATGTTTCAGGCTGTTGGCAACAGAAAGTAGAAATATTGATTTAATAAAGGGAATTAGATTTCGGAAAATTTTCAAAAAACCGAAAAACACGTGAACAGGGAAAAGAATGAGAGATATCAGCTGGGCGATGCTGAATAAGGCGGACGATAACGCCTCTCATGTGGTACTCCTTAATATAGCTTAACTAACAGAAGAAAATAGCCCAAAGCATGCAACCATCACCAAAGAACACATATAATATGAAATGAAATGACCCACCACCAGTACATAGAATAAGAATATGATAATAATAAGAAAAAAATAAGTGAGGTATCAAACCAAATGAAAATACGGCTCCTAACAGTAAACCAGGGCAGGTGAGCAGGTCAGCACGGCGCCGCCGGCCGCCGACAAGACCAAACGACGTGCGTAAGGTAGCAGAAAAACTCAAGCATTTATG